ATTTTTAAATATATATAATATATTTTATATTATATATATTTTATTTTATAATTTTTAAATATGTAATAATATATTTTATATTATATATTTTTTATTTTATATATAATTTTTAAATATATAATAATATATTTTATATTATATATATATATAATAATATATTTTATTTTATATACATAATTTGTGTTGACCAGCTCAAACATACCAATTCTTTGCAGGGCAGATCCTTGAAACTTTGGACGCAGAAGGTCTCACCAACAGTACCCTCGTTTATTTTACATCGGACAACGGGGGATTCTTAGAGGCTCAAGTGGGGAACCACCAGTATGGGGGCTGGAATGGGCTCTACAAAGGTACGTATGGCAGAGCCCCAGGCCCTTGTCTGTGGTCTTACCTACCATTCCTACCTCTTCCAATGGACCATCTACCTCAAGGGATTCAGCAGCCCAGCTGGTGTGGCTCAGCGGTTGAGCATCAATCTCTGATCCAGGAGATCGGGGTTCGATTCCCGGTCGGGGCACATGCCCGGGTTGTGGGCTCGATCCCCAGTAGGGGGCGTGCAGGAGGGACTCTCATCATTGATGTTTCTATATCTCGCTCCCTCTCCCTTCCTCTCTGAAATCAATAAAAGGCCTTAACAAGCAGAAATGTTAAATCACCCAGGGTAAGCAACCCCATCTGGTTTTTAACCGTATTCTTCTGCTCTTGTTTCAACACAGGTGGTAAAGGCATGGGCGGCTGGGAAGGCGGGATCCGTGTCCCCGGGATAGTCCGGTGGCCCAGGGTGCTGCCCGCCGGCCAGGTCATCCACGAGCCCACCAGCTTGATGGACGTGTTCCCCACGGTGGTCCAGCTGGGGGGCGGCAAGGTGCCCGAGGACAGGTACGGAGCAGCCCCCCCAAAAGCAATTCAGTTTTGCACACAGATGTCATGTGTCTGCAATGTCCCTGTCACATGGCGTAAAGTGTCCGAGAAATTTGGGAAAAGGGTCCAGTTCCCTGTCATCTCCCGAGATCAAGCGTCTCCTTCATTTTATACAAAAAAGAAAGGGGGGGGGGGGATTTCTCTTTCCTGGCTGGTAAGTGGGGCCCATTTTATTATAAGGGACATTGTCATGGAAAAAAATCTAACAATCTACCCCGAAAAAAGTGTTCTAGATTCAGTGTCATGCAGAAATTTTATATGATTTCAGTGTTTCTTGTCTTAACATGCATAGAAAATTTTGGAAGAAATAAGAAAATAAATTATTTTATAATCTTAACAGCCTGGACATGAATAAATAATTAAATCATGTAATATGTATAGCATATCTATAAAATATGTTATATACATATTATATATTATATACATATGTATTATTTATATGCACTTATATATTATTTTTATATATTTATATTTTTTTTAAAAGTCTTTGTGCATAGACAAAAAAATTAATGGCTTATATGTAGACATCAGCCTTGGTGGGGGGGTTGTTTTTTTGTTGTTAACTGTCACCTGAGGATATTTTTCCCATTGATTTTGAGGGAGAGTTGAAGGGAGGGAAGGATGGAGGGAGCAGAGAGAGACAGAGAAACATGGATGTGAGGGGGGCACATCAACCGGTTGCCTCCCCCATATGCCATAACCAGGGCCGGGGATCGAACCCGCAACCCAGGTAGGTGGCCTTGACTGGTAATTGAACCCAGGACCCTTCGGTGTGCAGGCCCACAGTCTAACCCGAGGGTGGGGAACGTCCGGCCCACAGGCTGCATTCGGCCCTGGATGGCATTGAGTCCGGCCCTGCCGAGGCAACCACAGGCGGGACTCGAAATTCAACACATCGGGGAGCTTTTCTTATACCTAATGTTTAAGTTGATCATTTTGTGCTGCCCGAGAATGATGCTATAAATATAGAAATGGCCCTTGGCAGGAAAAAAGGTTCCCCAACCCCTGCTCTAACCACCGAGCCCCACTCGCCAGGGCCGGGCCTTAGTTTTAGGAAAGAAAGGTGAGGGCGGAGGGCCCTGCAGGCCAGAAAACGGTTCCAAGTCTTGTTGAAAAAAACACACGTAGCCCGGCCGGGCGGGGCTCAGCCATTGAGCGTCGACCTGGGATCCCGGTGATCGGGGTTCGATTCCCGGTCAGGGCACATGCCCGGGTCGTGGGCTCGATCCATGACTCTCTCATCATGGATGTTTCTCTCTCTCTCTCTCCTTTCCTCTCTCTGAAATCAATAAAGATATATTTAAAAACAAAAACAAAAACAAAAACACACGTATTCTAGAATAACTTAAAACTCAAATCAGCATTTAAAACACACACGTACACACACAGACAAAGACGTTTCAGCGGCTCAGTGGCTTATTTTGCGTTCATATGTTCAGCTGGGCAGAAACCTAACCTGAACCAGCTGGTCCCGGCTGAGCTTTTAGTCAAAGGCGATGTTGGCAGGAGGGTAGCTGGGCGGCTGCCCCAAGGCGCCCCCGAGCTGGCCACGGCTCGGGCATGCCTCCCATCGGTGCCGCTCCACCCCTGAGTCTCTGTGCCGCTTTCTGCAGGGTGGTGGACGGCCGGGACCTATTGCCCTTGCTCCTGGGGACCGCGCGGCACTCGGACCACGAGTTCCTGATGCATTACTGTGAGAAGTTCCTGCACGCCGTCCGCTGGCACCAACGGGACAGTGAGTAGGCTGGGGGACGGCACCGTCTGGGGGACTCTACCCCCTTGGCGGCTGCCTCCGCCCTTCTACTGGCTCCTTTCTTTCTTTCTTTTTTTATTTTTTTAAAAAAATATGTCTTGCCCGGCCGGGCCTGGCTCAGCGGTTGAGCGTCGATCTGGGATCCAGGTGATCGGGGTTCGATTCCCGGTCAAGGCACATGCCTGGGTTGTGGGCTTGATCCATGACTCTCTCATCATTGATGTTTCTATCTCTCTCTCTCCCTCTCCTTTCCTCTCTATGAAATCAATAAAGATATATTTTAAAAAAAAAAAAAATATATATATATATATATGTCTTTATTGATTTCAGAGAGAGGGAGATAGAAACATCAATGAAGAGAGAGAGTCATGGATCAGCTGCCTCCTGCTCGCCCCCTACTGGGGACCGAGGGCATTGGCCCTGACCGGGAATCGAACCGGCGACCTCCTGGATCAGGGTCGATGCACAACCATTGAGCCACGCCGGCCGGGCTCCTTTCTACATTTCTTGGGATATTTCCTCCCTCATGCCAGCGACATCCTCTCAACGGCCTTACGATAAGAGGGTTGTTACGTATGGTTTAGGCATAACTTAGGGGATTTTCTATGCTCGCTCACACACTGGCACACGCACACACCCCCCACGTGCCCACATATCCGAGAGCCTGTCTCTGACCATTCAAGTCTACTCTTTTTACCTATATTGCTTTTTTTTTTTGGTTGTGAATCGTCACTGAAGGATATTTTTCCATTGCCTTTTAGAGAGAGTGGGGGGGGCATTGCTGTAAGAGAGAGACATCAATTGGTTGCCTCCTGCAGCAACTAACCAGGCCGGGGATCCAACCGACAACCCAGGTGCGTGCCCTTGACCGGGAAACGAACCTGTCTGCACCCTTTGGTGCCTGGGCCAATGCTCTCACTAGTGGATCAGACTGGCCAGGGCTCGCCTTGCAGTCTTTCAAGGATGTGTCCTGAGGCTGACCTTGGGGCCGTGTCAGTTGCCCTCCAGGTACAAGGTCTACCTGGACGCTCCAGGTTGTCCTTAGGGCTTCCCTGCTCCCGGCTCCTGTCTCTCCCCCTTCCACACCCTTCTTGCTGCGTTCATATCCGCAGAAGGGTGTTTTCTTTTCTTTAATTCACCTTTATTGTTGAACGTATTACACAAATCCTCTCTTTTCCCCCCATTCACCCCTCTATCCCGCTCCCAGCCCCTCCCCAGGCCTTCCCGGCACCAGTGCCCGTGTCCATGGGCTGGGCATAGATGCCTAGAAGTTCTTCGGTGAATGTCTTCCAGCCCCGTTTCCCCCTCCCCTCTGAGATCCCCTCAGGCTCCCTTACAGGTGAAATCCAATGAACAAACTAAACTGAGGCGCAAAACAGATCCCGAGTCGTGGGAGCACATGGTCTTGCAAAACATTTCATTGAGCGCATCTATTGCCTCCTGCAAAGCCCCCCACAGCAGGGTGGGGTGGGGTGGGGTGGGGAGGGAACCCACCCCCCAGGTATGTGCCCTTGACCGGGACTCGAACCTGTGACCCTTGGGTGCGCTGGCTGGTGATCTAACCACTGAGCCACACGGGCCAGGGCTCCACCCCCTCTTTGGTGGACATCTGCCTTCTGGCTGCTGTGAGCGAGGCTGCCCTGCAGCACCCCCTCTTCATTCTCGGGGACTCTTGCCTCCCCCCAGGAGGCACCGTGTGGAAGGTCCACTACCTGACCCCCGTCTTCCAGCCGGACGCAGCGCGCGCCTGCTACGAGCGAGGGATCTGCCCGTGCGCAGGGCACGCGGTGACCCATCACGACCCACCTCTGCTCTTCGACCTCTCCAGCGACCCCTCCGAGGCCCACGCGCTCACGCCGGACACCGAGCCCTCGTTTTACCAGCTGGTGGCCACGGTGGCCCAGGCCGTGGAGGACCATCGCCGGACCCTCGGGCCTGTCCCCCTGCAGCTGGACGCGCGGAGCAACGTCTGGAGGCCGTGGCTGCAGCCGTGCTGCGGGCCCTTCCCCCTCTGCTGGTGCAGCCGGGAAGGCGAGGGGCAGTAACCGCCTGCCCCGGGGCACCCTGGGGTCCCCGATGCCTGGATGTGCTCCATCTGGGGGGAAATAAAACGCGGCTGTAAAGCTCGGTCAAGAGAATGCCACAGGCACGTACGGACTCCACTAAATAAAATGCACCCTTGAGGGCTGCCCAGGCCACGCAACTGGCGAGTGACGCAACAGGCAAGCGACGCAACAACTGAGTGACGCAACAGGCGAATGACGCAACACGCAAGCGACGCCACAACCGAGTGACGCAACAGAGCAGTGACGTAACAGGCAAATGACGCACCACGCAAGCGACGTCACAACTAAATGATGCAAAAGAGCAGTGACGCAACAGGCGAGCGACCAGCAAAGTTCCTCCTGCTTCAGGGCTTTCTGGACAAAGGACCCCAGTCTCCCCCCGCCCCTGGAAAGCCCGCTGTGTCCCCCTTAAAGAGCTTCAGTCCCAAAGTAACTCATGTCTTTGTCATGCCGACTTGTAGACACCAGGGGACACCGCGGCCCTGACACAGGCTGGCCCGGGCCCCATGGAACAGCGCAGGTCCGTCGTTTGAACCTTGGTTAGGACACAGTGTGTTGGAGGCTGGAACTGTTTCCAAGGGATGTTCCTGGGTGAGCAAGAGCCCCGGTGATTGGGGGAAAACCTAGAATTTGGGAAATGGTCTGGAGGTTCAGTGTTGTCGGTCACTGCACGGTCCCCTGCCACTGGCTTGGCAGCAAGGGACACGTGCCCGAGGGGACAGACGCAGGGACCCTATTC